CCACACTGTCCTCTTCAGTCTTTGAACTCAGAGTTGCCCCTTCCACTCAAGGCCTCTGCCCCAGACTGCCTTTCTTCTACACATCACTTCAGGGACACTTTCTCTGAGATGACACTTTCCCACCTAAGCCAGCCGCCCTTCATGGTACCGCACGCGCCCACTTATCACTGTTGCTGTATCACACTTGTTTGTGACTCCTTGGATAACAGCTCCCTCCTAGACCACATGATCCATGAGCTCAGGAGCCCTGTTGGGAGCTGCCTTCTACCCTCTCCCACATACCTGGCAGGAGTTCTCAACACTTCTTCATTGAATGAATGAGTGAGTGAACAAATGAATGAAGTACCCCCCCCCCCCGGGTGAGTTTGTGTGTCTGAGTCCTGGGGACTGAATGTGTGGCTTTGTACATGTTGGGCAAGCACTCTGCCACTAAGCCACATCCCTGGCTCTCAGGTGAGTTTGAAGTACAGGTGTTTGGGTATGGACCTGTATGTGAGGTGTGAGATCCTTGCTACAAATGATGGCACTCAGTCATCAGCTCTTCCAAGTGGCTGGTGTGAGTTGGGAACAGGGGACACTACTTCCCCTTTGCCCTGCCCTAACACGTGACCTGTCTGTCACCTCTGGAGATGGGAAGAAAGGCTTGGGGAAGCAGCACTCATGGTCACACACTATGACCACAGACTGTTTAATACATAACCCCCATTTCCTACCACCCGGCAGCAATGGTCGGAACTAGGACATCCTCAGTCATGTACAGGGAAGTGACGGAGGTATTCAGCTCTGTAGGTAGCCTGGACAGGCAGACGCTCCCTCTGGTTCCCATCCCACACTTCTGTCCCCTAGCCCCTTGCCTGACCTCTGGACCCAGAGCTTGCTCATTCAGTTCAAGGAGAATCAGCTTGGAAAAATCCACTGGCCTGACAGTTCTTGAGGAGTTGGCCTTGAAGGACTGACCCTGAAATTCTGGGGTTAGCCTTACCACTCTCTCTCGGGCTCCTCCCGCCTTTCCAGGCTGTAGTCAGACTCACCAGACAGCAGCCACTGCAGCCTTTTCACATAGCACCTCATCACCTTCTCCATGCACGTGATGTACTCCTCCATCTCCCGCAGCGTCCACCGGATGTGCTTAACCACTCCCTGGGGGAGGCAAGCAGAGGCTGATACACCCCACCAGTGGTGGTTCACAGTCTCAGAACCCCTAAAATGGTTTACACTGTGGAAACAAACAACTCTCCGGCTATTTCTTTAAATATATATTTGTTTGTTTGCATGCTTCATTCATGAAGCAGGGTCTCACTATGTGGCCCATGCTGGCCTTGAACTTATCATCTTCTTTCTTCTGCCTCCTGAGTCCTGGCATTGCAGACACAGACCATCGCGTTTGGAACGGTTTTATTTATTGAAAAGTTATTTTTCTTTTAATTTACTACTAGATTCCATGATTCTGTGAAGCAGTGGAAAATAGGGGAAGGGTGGATGACAGAGTCACCGGAGTAGTGAAAACCACCTCATCTCCAAGTTTAAAATAGAAAATCCTGCCGGGCGGTGGTGGCGCACGCCTTTAATCCCAGCACTCGGGAGGCAGAGCCAGGCGGATCTCTGTGAGTTCGAGGCCAGCCTGGGCTACCAAGT